AAATAAATGAAAATATTTTCTATTCAAAATTAAATAAAAACACTACAGCCCCTCGGGAGAGATATTTAGATTTGACTTTTCCAAGTGACCTACTTTTAAGCAATTATAATTACTTCCAATCATTTTTCTATTCAACTTTTGAAATGAAGGCTTTGCTTTTTAATGGGTAATCTGCAGTCTATTAAAGGTTGAAAGCAATGCCTATGGCTTAGTTATTCTCCACTGAAGCAAACTCTTTTTTGGGACTCAATGCTTATCTTATAGTTAAAATGCACATTTCTGGAAATTAATTTCAGGCTTGAAAGACAAGAGGCATACATATATCCGATACGGTTACAGCATAAAAAAGCAAACAACTTTGATTTCTAAAGTACAAAATGTCATGTTCTAACTCCTTTGAGATATTGTAAGTTAGATCCTAACTTTCAAAGAAGTCTATATGGAAATAGTAAGTACAAAATAACAGATCCAGGATGTGTGGTTGATGTAATTAGAATCCTAATAGGAAATGTTTCAGTTAACAAAAGGCAAGTGTTTACATCATAGTTAAACCCAGGGCACTGTGAACAATGAATGTTTGGAAATATTTTATTTAAAAAGCTCTATATTTTCTCACTAAATTTCTTTAAATCTGAAGTAGTTAAATCATATATTTACATTAATGAAGGTGATTTGATGGCACACCATTGCTTTTCTCATCAAGTCTGTGGTGGGAACAGGTAATGGTTGCGAGGAGTTATATGTTCTGTTTTGGAGTCCAGTGTTCTTTGACTTTTGGTAATTTTTTGAATCCATGAAAATCAGGATATTAAGCTTAAACTCTCAGAGCCATAGTTTTCCTCTCTGTAAAATGAAGATGATACTTAGCCTGATAGCAATATAAATATTTTGAAAATGAATGCTATGTATTATGAAACAACTAAATGTATCTATACACTAAATAAACAATGTTAAACTCCAAACTTGTAGTTAAATGAAATACCAGTATACAACTTTATAAAATAAAATCTTACAACTGGATTATCTTCAATAGACTCTAAAACTCAGTAAGATTAGGTCAAGTGGTATATGTATCTCAGTCAAGCTTTATTTGTAAGACAATGGAATTTTACAAATAAATTATCCTAAAAGACTATGATTGCTTCAATAATATAAAAAAGTAATTTAATATAAATTAGTAATTCTTTGATTTGGTTGCTACTTTACTCGATTCACTAATAAAAACAAAGATTCAAAAACTGAAGTTAAGTACACACCTACTTAACATCAAATTTGATATCTGAACACAGGTTTTCTTAGCTCTAAAATCCATATGCGTATATATTGCTTTGATTTGTAGTAGGCTATTCCAGTCTTTTTTTTTTTTTTTTTTTTTTTAAGATTTTGGTGTTCTTGGCAAGTCTGGGAAGTACATTTAGCTTCTCAAGGAGTTCTATTTCTATGTTCTTCTTGTCAGTATAATAAAAAAATTGATGAATGCTTGGAATTTCTTTGAAGTACATTTAAGATACATAAGGTTATTGGGAGAAATTTTCAAATTACCAAAGTCTTCCTTATTCTTTCATCACCCACACCCCTATGTGGAAGCTTGGAAATGCAATTTCTAATATATTCCATGATTCAAAGTATTTTAATGGAAATAAGTACAAAAATAAATGTGCGGCCTTGAACTTATGGGATCAATGAGACATCTGAGTTCAAACAACCTCACTTTGCAGGTAATTTACTATTTGATTAATTAACTTACATTAATATGTTTTTAATTATAACTAAGGACTTAGTTATCTTTGTATATCGATGCTTAGTTTTTATCTTTGATCTTTTATTCTCAGAAATTATATAAAAGCTGTCTAAAATGATTTGGTCTGTACATAAGAGATTGCTAAACAGATCGTTACGAACTTTAAGGGAATTTTTTATCAAGGATGAAGTATAACACCAAAATGTAATGATAGGCCACACACTTAACAAAATTTTTATTATTCATGTGACCTTTAGACTTGCCATTACTTTTCTAGTTCACTCTTAGAAGGCCTAAGGAGACCTGAGAATGTAACCTGTTTGTCAGATGTTTTTTGATTGGCCAGTCTGATTTTTTTTTTTAAGTGAAAGTGAACATCTTAAGTTTGGCGACTAAAATGAGGACTGTTGAATTATCCGAGAGAAAGAGGGAGAGAGACAGAGAGAGAGAGAGACAGACAGAGAGGGAGGAAGGGGCAAAGATGGCGACATAAAAAGCTGCTGACTTCCTCTCCTCCCACAGATGTACCGAATATACAGCCACATATGGAGCAATCACCCCTGCCTGAGAAAACGCAGAAAGTAGCTGAGTGAATCCCACACACTGAGCAAATGAGAAAATGCCCACATTACAACAGGTAGGAAAGGCAGAGACACACTCCCGCCAGAAACTCCGGCCCCACACAGCGCCCTCCAATCAAGAGGGAACCCCCAGCTCCCAGCTTCTCCCTGAGGAGTGAAGGATTTGGACCTCACATCTCCTGCCTGAGCTTTGAAGACTCCCACTGAGGGAGGGTGCCCGGGACACCGCGCTGTGAAAGCTGACGGCAAGGAAAGCCACTGACGAGTCCTGCCTCATAGCAAACAAAGAAGCAGTTTTTTTGTTTGTTTGTTTTCTTTAGAAACTTAGAAACTACTTATTTTCTGTCATCCTTATTTCCATTTTCTGTTTAAGACTCTATGGAAGAACAACTTAAAACCACGCAGTGGTTGTTCTTACCCGTTCAGAGGCCTGAGCAGGGGGAGTTGCAGCCCAGACTTAGCAGAGGCCTGACACCCCGTTAGTCCTCAGCGGGCAGCAGCCGGATGGGCCCCGAGAGCACCTGTGCACCTTCAGACTCGTGTACGACCTCAGGTTGGGGAGCAGTGCACTCAGGAGCTGGGGCAGCCCCTTCCCTGAGACTCCTCCTCGTTTTGTGGCCTTTTTGGCAGCACCCGCCTTTCTTTTCCAATCTCTTCAGACTCTGGAGAAGCGAGCTCGCGCCCCACCTCCCGTGGGTGTTCCCGCCAGACAGCGCGCACATGCGCAGAACTTCTCCCGCCAGCCTCCTCGGCCGCGCAAGCGCTGAGGGAGCTCCCTGGACGTGCCGGATGGCGGTGCTGTCTGCCTAGCGCAAAGGAGAGTCCGTGTCACACAGAGCAGTGGTAGATGGGTTAACATGAGAGGCCTCAGTGAGAGGCTGGTGGGCAGCACCGGGGTGGGTAACCGCAAGTCCAGTCGGGGGTCGGGGAAGGCGGCCTGGGTTCGGTTGGTGGAGGCCCACAAGTGAAGCTGCTGGCAGTGTGAGTGGCTCCAGTCAGTGGCAGCAGCAAACTTCAGCACAGCTTCCTGGTCAGTAGTCCTGGAGATGGTGACACTTCCATCAGCCAGGTTTTCACTGGCAACAAGGGCAGGAACTGCCGGCAGAAGCTTCTTCCATGTGCTCCTCAGATTTATGACCTAGCCGCCATCACGTTGCCTCTCGCGGACGGCCTGTTCCGCTTGGAACTCAAGGTTGGTGCCACCTAAGTGTGTTCCTACTTCAAGGAAGTTGAGGACATCCTTTTTCTTCATATGTAGGATGTCAAGGTCTCCGAATATTGTAAACGTTTCGTTTAAGTTAAGATGGGAATCCAGAACGACTTCATATGGACCCTGTGTGTATCTATTACACGTTACTATTTTGTGGTTGCCACTGGGCTTACATAAAATTTAAATGCCTAGCTCTTATGAGCTATTAATAAAGCTATCTAGAGGTATCTAGGCAATTCAGGAGAAGGCAAAGCCTATTTTTGGAACTTCTCTTGCCTTTCATAATTATTAAAATGTTCTCTTATATTTTTATACTGTAGGCCATTCCCAAGCTCTTTTTAAATGATCACATTATGCATGTGATGTAGGCCTAGATATTATTCCTTCTGTAGAAAGGATATTCAGAGGACAATGATCTGTCCAAGGTGATAGATTTTATAACTAGCAGAGCAAAAAATAGGACCCAAGTCTCCAAGTTATCATTTGATATGGTATATTTTACACTAATGGAATCCTAAAAACAACTTTTTGAAAGCATGGGAACTCAAAGAGTTTCCCATATTAAAAAAATACCCAAGAAGTCTGTGTGTGTGTGTCTGCGTATGTGTGTTATAATGGCTTCTTGAGTCTCTGAACTTCCTAGCACAAGGGACTTTTTTTTTAATATGAGGTTAGCCACCCAAATAGTTTTTTTTAAGCAACTGGATATCCCTATGTTTTATAAAATTAATCTGTAGTACTCAAGAATTTTATTTTCCCATTTCTATAATCTGTTATTACTCTAATAGTAAAACAAAGTAATATTATTATGCATTGTTTTCATAATGTATTATTGAAAAAAAGTAAAATGATACTGTATGAAAATAAGCTTTCTTCATAATCAATAAACTTTCATATACTCAAAACAGCTGAAAGGAACCCCAAAACTGAATCAAGATGAGTATGCTTTGGTTCCACTACCCCAATATTGCAAAGTTTGTGAAAAGATACACAATCAAAAATAGTTTAATTCAAGCAAACATGGATATCTTCATTATTCTTACAATATTGACTCATAGTCACTTGATCCTTGTTGCATGATGGTTTTCTAGCCACGTTAAGCTCTTCCTGTTTTATACTACGTTATTTACCTAGCAAAAGCTCTGATGCCAACATAGTACAGGATGGCTTTAATATTATTTCACTTACACTAAAAGTTCATTTTAACTTATTTGCCCTTGAAGTTCTATTTTATCTTATATTTTACACTTTGTAAATTTTTTAGACATCTCTACTCTTCCATTTCCAAAAGAAACTGGGAATAGAGGAGCTATAAATGTGAAAATAGATGAAACTGTTACATTCCTAGCATGGTCAAAGTAGGTCAAAGTAGTAACTGTTTTTATTCTGGCAAGAAATAGTCTGTTGTAGTATTTCCAACTCAATTATTTTAAAGGAGGGGATTTGAATGACTTTCAGGTAAATTGTGATTTTGGTCAAACTTCTATCACTTTTCCTTTTGCCATCCATTTACATCTATTTCTCTTTTACTGAAAATTGAACCTTTTCAAGAGCGTTTTAAAAATTGTTTTTATTTGATAAATAAAATACCTTTTGACTTATTTTCCCTAAAGTAATAATAATCTTCATAGTAGTTTTGGATTTTTACAAAGAAATAAAAGGAATGCAAAATTTCCAGATGACTGAGAAGAGTTAAAGTAAAAGTTACTGTAAAAAAGACTTTCCTAGATGATGAAAGATATTTGATACTCTTTGTACTTCATTTATGAATGTTAAATAGTTTTTACATTTTTTGTTTTTCATTTTTTGTTGTTTGGTTCCCCCCACTGAGGACATGTCTATACCATCAGGATATCCCTGAATAATACATCAGTAAATATTCAAGGTTATTATAATATTTTTAAATATTAATAAAAATAATACACTGGCCAATACCATGCTATATACTATATTAGCTTATGAAAGAAGATTTGTCATTAAGTTTTCTCTGTTAGGTAATTGGCAGGATGACTTACATTTTCCCTCAACTTTAATACTGCTTTCACCCAGCCAGTTTCCAGCATTAACTATAAGGCTTTTTGTTTCCCATGCATAGTAATATTGCAGGGTTGAAGTAAGACTTGGAGGTCTCCTTATGCTCCTGCTGAGATGTCTCTACTTTCCTTTACTTCCACTCTCAAATACCCTGCCTGCGTCCAGGCTCATACAGGGAGACTATATTTAACATAGCTATCTTCACTTCCATGACCATAATGCCTAACTCCGTAATTTAGCGTGAGAGCTGGACTCATCAAGCCCTTCGTTCTAGTTATCTCAGTCCCTACAAACAGCTCAACCTCCCCCAAATTCCTTAGTATCTAGACTCTCAAAATGACTAACACTTTGATCTACTTGCTTTCACATATTATAATGTGATTCCTCCCTGTTTGCAGTCATCTATGCCCTTCTATAATTCCCCTCATTCAGTGGAGATTTTACTGTGCTTCACTGTATTTTACCAATTATATATTTCATCATTTGTGATCACTCAGTATAAATATATTATCTATTCTGCAGTTTCTTGGCATTTTCCCCACTAATGAATTTTTCATCTGCCTCTCCTCAGGCATTCTCATTGCCACACCTAGATTTTTAATGAACAATAATTGAACCATCTCCTGAATTTCAATATCTTTTATCTTCCTGACTACCACCTTCTATCTTTATAATGCAATCATTCAAATGCCTTGATTCTAAAAATTTTATAGACATTTCCATAACCTACAAGTTACTGACCTTTTTGCTTCTCATCAAACCCTCACAGCCTGACTTTTCTGCATAAAAAGCCAGTTGTCAACATTTATAATTATCTCCTTACATATATCCTCAAGTTTGCTCTCTCTCCTTTGATTAAATCTGAGTTTGGGACAGATGTGTGGATTACAACTGTATTTGGTATTTACTTTCTGACTGCAATGCGGCATGTGACTATAGCTGGGGACTCTCTCTCTCTCCCTCTCACACACACACACACACACACACACACACGCACGCACACACACACTGAGGCATGCGTGTGTGTGCACATTCTCACCTTTCACTAATCAATATAATCCTAAAGGGAGTTCTCCTGTCCTTATCATATCAATTCATTTTTCCTATTTTTCTATGCAACTAATTCTCTAAGCTTTCTTCTTAGTCCTCAGTCAGTTGACAATTTTGCTTCTTACGTCACTGAGCTGATTCAGACAATCAAAAGAGACCTCCCATATGTACCCAATGCCAAGATCATCAAACTTTCTTTTGTTTCCCCTATTACAGTGAATGAATTGGAACTACTTCATCTAAGGACAAAATCTCCACATGTGCATTAAATCCCACTGGTGCATCTATGAAAAGAATTCCTATTTGCAAGTTTCCTCTTTTTTCCTCAAAAGTGAGTCCTATCAGCATGAGGAAATTCTGTAATTTTTTTCACTGCAAAACAAATGAACAAACAATACCCTTAATCCAACATGTACCTCCAGTTGCTGCTCTCTTGACTATGCTTCTGTTTTGAGGTAATTCATCAAGAGTATTTTATTCACATTATCTTCCTTTCTGTTCTGTTTAATTTCTGGAGTCCAGGCCAGTCAGATCCTTGTCCCCACTGCACAGAGCAAAGAATCCCAATAATCTCCACTATGCCAATCTAATGACAATTTTCATTATGCAGTTCATTTGACGTATTAGCCACATTTGACGTTGATTGGTTTTCTGTGATAACCACTTTCTCTTGGACATCAACTTACTACAGTGATAAAAAACTTTCTCTCTTTCTCTCTCTCTCTCTAGATATTATATATATATATCTAGATATATATATATATATAATAGATTATATATATACACACACAAAATTTCCTTTACATCTCCCCAAAATCTATACTCTGTAATAACCCAAGATGACTGAGCCTCTTCTTTCTAAGTATTCTCTCCCTACTTATTTATTTTAACACTTTATTTTTTAAAGCAGTTTTAGGTTCACAGAAAAATTAAGAGGAAGTTACAGAGATTTCCCAGAAACCTCCCTGCCTCCACATATCCATATCCTCCTCTGTTATCAACATTCCTCACCAGAGTAGTACATTTGTTATAATCAATGAACATGTGTTAACACATTATCACTCAAAATCCACTCTTGGTTTTTCACATTCAGTTTTCATGGAAATGATACATATTCTTCATTTTAGTACCATGCAGAGTATATTCTGCTGTAAAAATCCTCTGTGCTTCAGCTACTCACCAGTCATCCCCACCCAGTCCCTGGAACTCATTGGTCTTTTACCTGTCTCCAAAATGTTGTCTTTTCCAGAATGTCACAGAGTTGGAATCATACAGTATTAGCCTTTTCAGACTGGATTTTCCTACTTATTAATATATATTTAAGCTTCCCCGATGTCATTTTGTGACTTGATAGCTTATTTCTTTTTAGTTCTGAGTAATATCCATGTCTGCACATACCCACAGTTTATCCACTCATACATCTTGATTGCTTACAAGTTTTGGCAATTAGGGCAAAGCTGCTATAAACATCCATGTGCAGGTTTTTTAGTGAACGTGAGTTTTTAACATCTTTGCATAAATATCAAGAAGTTCAATTAATGGATCACATAGTAAGAGTATGTTTAGTTTTATAAGAAACCACCAAACAGTCTTTTCAGTGGTTTTAATGTTTTGCATTCCCACTAGCAATGAATCAGAGTTTACATTGCTCCACATCCTTGCCAGCACTTGGTATTATTGGTGTTCCAGATTTTTGCCATTCTAATAGTTATGCTGTGATATCTCATTGTTATTTTAATTTCTATGTCTCTGATGACATATGTGTAAAGCATCTTTTCATATGCTTATTTCCCTTATGCATATCTTCTTTGGTTAGATGCTTATTAAGATTTTGATCCATTTTTTAATCATTTTTTTTCCGTAGTGTTTTAAGAATTGTTTGTATATTTTGAATAACAGCCCTTTATCAGACATGTCTCTTAAAAATATGTTCTTCCTGTCTTTGGCTTGTCTTCTCA